GCGTGTTCTTTCATAGCAAAAAAAAAGTCACTGCTTAGTAGTTAAAAAAAAATACATTAAAAATAGGAGGCTGGGCATTCTTCATCTAAAATGGAAGCTGTCTATAAACCTATCATTTGCAGAGCAGCCAGCTGCAGATTGGGTTTCTGACACCATTTCATATACTAGTTCCTACACAAACGTTAGGATGGTTTGGGGACCAAACTATGACACATTAAATATGCTATTTTGTTTGCTATGAGAAATCCTTCTAGACTGTAAACAGGTAACTGTTGTGTTTGCCAACCTATCACTGTGTTCCAGAAAGGCAAGCAAATAAATTGTAACTTCAGTGGTAGAGCTACTGAAATGGTTACACAAACAGAACCCAACTGATTTTGTCTTTATTTCAAACACTGGAAGTATGCACAATTTTTAAAAAACAGAAAAAGAGAAAAATGTATTTCAAAAGATTTAGTGCTATACTGCAAGCAGATCATCACAATTATGACCACATTGGAAATACTGCTAGCCTCCCAATCCAGAGAGGCCCAAACTAAAACCTTAACTAAAAATAGCTTGAGCTACAAGGAAGCTCAAAACCTAAGGGTACCTGTCATGAACGGAACCAAAATCCTGGATTCCAATGTGGGTCCGTGCTTGTTTGTGCTTCCATACCTATTAAAGGAGGTACAGTGTGAATGCTACAATATTTATCTGGGTTATTATCAGTTGGTGGACAAAATCCTTAAACCCAGAGCAGACAGAGGAGAAATGAAGAAAACATTTTGCATGAGGACATGCTTTTGCTGCCTCTCCCTTGTAGGCTGCAGCCGTGCTGCTGGGAAGGGGCTGAAGTGACAGGTCAGTTGTAGACCATCTGATTCTGGATTGCATTCTACCGTCATCTAGATTTTGGTGCTTGACAGAAGCTCCACGATTAAAAAAAAAGTCATCTGCGCTCGCTTCAGCGTGCCAGCTTTACAGTCTCTGTCGTACCCCCCGGTCGTTCAGGTTTCCCCGAAGCATGTGCTTTATTAACGCGACCCCCCCCGTGCCATCCTCCTCTCCCGGGTGCCGCTCCGGGCTCGCCGGGGAAGTGCAGGCCCCCGCACCGCCAGCGGGGATGCTGTCTAGGGAAAAAAAAGCACCGACTCGGCCGAGGTTCCCCTCACCCCGGGGTCCCAGCCTAG